GCATTCATCACAGCAGTGCGCATACGTTCGTTCTTTCATAAACGTGCTTGTATTTTGAATCCCAGACACCTGAGGCTTAAGATAGATGGAGCTCAGAGTTATGAACCCAGTCGTCAGCACATCAGTCTGTTCTGCTGTTTCCCAAACTACCCCAATGGCTCAACTCAGGATTCCACACAATAGGAGTCTGGGGTGGTATGTAGGCAGATAAACAGGAAATCTGACATTCCAGACTGCTTTTCACAGGAGTCATGTGATTAATGTCCAGTGTGTGTGTGTGTGTGTGCGCGCTCCCGTCGGCGTCGACTGAGGTAATGAGAGTACCTTTAATTGCATTTCATCAGTATGTTCTTCATGCTCTCCGCTGTCCTCTCACTTATACTCTTGCTCTCTCGTGTGCGTGAAGGAGATGCAGAATCAGTTGCCCGCTCAGTTTGTGTCTGTTTCGAGTTCATCTAGATGTGTAGATAACCACCAGACACTCTCTTTGTCTGTGTTTTAAAGCACACTCACAGAAGCACACACACTTGCACAGACTTGACATCCAGTAAAACACAGCTAGGCGCAGCAAATATCTGCCATCCAGCTCCCATATTACTCATGCCAAAACTGTACTATAAGACTCAGAAATACATGCTTGGCATGTTTATGTGCGTGTGAGAGAGAATGTACCACAAACTATATATCCAACCATATATCCATATAAGACAAGAACTGCCTCACCTCTTAAAGGTGACTGCAATGCTTCAACGTATCCTAAAACCTCAGGAATAACATTTTTTGATATATGCATTAATTTGCTTTCTTGCTGAGAGTTAGATGAGAAGATCGACACCACTTACCCAGTATGACACTGGGGCAAGGAAAAGGTTATCTTAGCTTAGCATAATGGCTGAAAGTAAAGGGAAACAGCTAGCCTGGCTCCGTACAAAGGTAACAAATCTGCACAACAGCACCCGTAAAGCTCACTAATCAACACATTGTGTCTTGTTTGTTTGATTTGCACGAAAACACAAATGTAGAGCGCGCCAGGCTGTTTCCCTGCCCTGTTTCCAGACCTTATGCTAAGCTAAGCTAACCCTCTCTTGGCTCCAGCGTTATATCTAGCAGACAGACATTAGAGTGAACATGTGTATTTCCCAAAATGTTTGGGTTCCTTTAACTTTCATCACATGTTGAGACATGTGATTTACCGGACAGCATATTTTAGTGTGTGCACCTTCATCAGTATGCATGTCTAATGGGGTTGTGTGTGTGCATATGTATTTTTGTGTGTGTGTTTTCAGACCGGGGGAGCAGCATTAGCCAGAGGCGTTAGCACACAGCTGGGGTTGTTTGAGTCAGAGCAGCCCTGAGCACCTCCTGCAGTTCAGATCAACATATGTAGCCTGCTTTAAACTACTTTAGCCTGCATAAGCATGACCCCTGCACAGCACAGGGAGTGGATAAACCTTCTCACTGATTGTGATGGAGCCACAGAACATTCAACTGCTCTGATCTCCTATGGAGATTCATAATATACATCCAGCCATCCACGTGTGTGTCTTGAGTTTGTGCCTGCTTTTGAGCCTCACCTCAAGTCATCACTGAGGCGTGTGAAAGCCCCGCTCAGCGCTTTGATCATTGATGCCTGACTCAAGGCTCCAACTGCCTGTTCGTGGTCTTAGCGGGCCTCCTACCTTCAGTAAATGAATCTGTGATGTTTGTCAGCTGAAATCGTGGTTAGCTCTCTGACAAGATGACATTTTCAAGTCAACCTTTACTTGTTTCATTTTGTGTGTTTGATTGTGTCTGTGACTGTGTTTGTGTGTGCGCCTGCAGTTCTTTGGACTTCAAAGGTTTGAGGCATAAAAGAGCTGCAGCTCTACTTGCCACAAGGGCAGGGGTTTTACAGGCAGACTGAGCAGTTGAGTTACTATGAATGCTCACCACATTTTGTGTTTAACAGTATTGCCAGACATTAATTAAGCCGCCGACGGAAAGACTCGACCACATAGTGCTTCCTGCGCCCTGTTTGTCGCTAATGTATCGTCCTCCACTGCAGTCACACACACGTGTGCAGCTGTGTGTACGTTCTCATCTATTTGAACCCACGTTTAGCTCAGTTTCATCAGTAAGAGTTAACTGAGTGCATGGGATGAAGCATCATTATTGTTGCTGTGGTTACCTGCAGTGTAACGGTCTTGTGCAGTGATTCAGAGCGGCGTGGTTGATTGGAACTATACGGTTGTGATGGATACCTGCCAGCCAATCAGGAGCAATTATTCCTTAGCCATGGTATAATGTGATGAGTAGAACTATATGCACACACACACACATACTGCTGGCTGCTGGCACCCTGACGTGAGTGTTCAGATTATAATAATAAGACTTTCTTATTGAAGGCTTGTATTGCACGTTCCATACATCATCTCACTTTTCCATGAAATCCCCCCCCCCCCCCCTCCAGCACTGGAATAAACTATGCCATTAATCATCCATCATCTGCCGTCAAACACACAAGGCTAGAGGGAAGACGGATCTGCCTCCCCACCAATTCTCACTCCTCTATTCTTTAGATTCTCTCATCTAACTAGCATCTCTCTTTCTCTGATTTACTGTTTGTCTTAATTCGTGGATCAAAGATGACACCCACTAATGACTTTCATCGTCCTGCTGACTCTGAGATGCTGTAATTAGTGATACAAGCGTGTTGCATCCATGCTGGTTTCAACAGGCAAATACCAAGGGCTCTGTAGGCATAAAGACGCAGACAGTGATCTACCAAAGAGCTCCTTTATTTATTTCTCTCCATCCTTCTTTTAGCTCATCTTTTTTTCTTCTTCGTTTTCTGTTACTCTGTGTCCTTTTCTCAAGTTTTTTAGTTTTCTGTGATGTATCTCTGTCATCTTGTGGGTGCTTCTCTGATAACTGCATCTAAACTGCTCTGCCACACAGTGTTCCCCATTTCTCTCACACTTCATCCATCCATCTGTCCCAACAGTTCAATCAGTCATCGTGTTCTATCAGGGACATCAGTCAATCATAGCAGTGCCTAATTTTCCAAATGTATTCACAGTAATCTTAGCTAATGAATACATCATTTGATGGGCTCACATATGTGCTAAACCTAAAGATAATGATCAATAATTAGAATTAGGAGTCATTTTCAGTGACATCTGCCATTACTATAAAGAATTCTTTCTTTCTCCGTTTCTTTGTCCTTTGTGGTGTCGCTTCACTTGGCCCTCAGTGAAGCCACAGGAAGCTCTGTGACGAGCTGACAGGCGGCTTCCTGTTTTGAAGCGCAGTGGTGGTTTTGGAGACTCATCTTCCGCTTAGTCAGAAAAACAAAATAGGGCCTTTGTGACGGAAACATACCGCACATTCTAACAGAGATTGAAGTACAATGGATTTTCTTTTTCATCAATGGTATAGAGGCTGCACTTGTTTTGTTTTGTTATTTGTGTGTCTGAGTTTGTGCTCTAATCTGCTTGACGGTGTGTGCTTCTTTTTTTTTATAGAAAAATCAATAAATGTACCTTTTGTTTTTTATTCATGTGTTTATCCTCTTGCAGGTTAATCTGTGCCCTCCAGTTTCATCTTGTCAGGATAATTCATTCAGAGTCTACAGTGACGTCAGCGTTGTTTGGTTATGTCTCTCTCTTTATCGGTAAATTCATGTCGTAGGCGTAACAGAGGTGCACGTGTAGGACAGCCTCCACACATGAGATAATTGAATCTCAACTGTTAAACAGGCCCCTGGGAGACATGCTGGTGTTTCCCCCGCTGCAGACACAGCTTGTGACCGGCACACACCATAAGAGGTTTATTGGATGTTTAGGGGAAGGCACATTTGTCCGTCACCTGTTTATTAATCAAGAATGACGCTTTTGTTACTTGTCACATGGTGCATAAATGTCGGTGGAGTACATGGGTATCGTGTGCTCTGTGACTTGTGCTGGTGCAGCCACACAAGGACTACACACACACACACACACACACACACACAGGAAGAGATACAGATTGAGACCACTGATAATCTCCGATGCCTGTCACCACACTGTATGAAAGGATGAGAGAGAGTGACTAATTGGAGTAGTATCGTACGCTCCTGTGTGAAGGTGCACGTGTCACGTATTTGTGAGTTAAGTCAACAAGTATTGTCTCTGCGCCTCATTCTGTGTCACTGAGGAATTTCCCATGAGCTTTCATATTCAAATTGGGTGCTTTTTTTCAAAATACATGCTGCTGGTGAGGTGGAGCTGCGTCTGAGTCTTCTTCTTTTAGAGGCGTTGCTGAAGCACTACAAAGGGTGAAGTCAGTGTTTTATTTTGTTCAAATATTTTTTAGGGGCTAGAAGTGATTATGAGAGCTTTTCCTTTTTCTTCCTGCAGTCTTCAGAGTAAGATTAAAAGGTGGGTCTTGAAGGAAAGACGTACTGTCTCTCTCGCCACACCCCTTCTATCATACTCCAAGGCACCAGGCGTATTTTTAGAGCAACGCCTCCCTCATCATGCCGCCTCAAAAACAAACTTGTCGCCATTGGTAACACTTCTCCATCCTAATGAGCTAATTCTATGAGGATTTGTGATGGTTTCTGAGGGAAACCTTTTCATCCTCTGTGAGTTATGCTTCCCCTCTCTCACATGTTCATTCATATTCTTTAGATGAAACACAGGATCTTTTCTTTCTCTCATCTCTTTTGGCCTTTCATATCCCCCAGATTTCTTTCATATGAATGGTTCCCTCCTCTCCTCTCTCATAAAAGATATGAACTCTTATTTGAATGAAGTCAGAGTCATGCTGATGAGTATGTTAATATGCCGCTGATCACAGAAATTCACTATGAATATGAAAATGTTGATCGGCCTACTCGTCTGATCTATTTGGACTTCTTAAATCCTACAAACCATTTTAGCTTTATTATACCTTTATGTATTTTAATCAGGAGAGACACTTTAATGGAGAACAGATAATATATGTGATAATGAAGTCTTGACAGTATGTCATCATGTAGCACCAGGATGGCCGAGTGGTTAAGGCGTTGGACTTAAGACCCAATGGGCAAATGCTCTTGTGGGTTCGAACCCCACTCCTGGTATTGTATTACCAAATTAGTTGAATGTTAAATTAGTTGAATACATAACATCAGGTGCCAAAGCACTGGAAAATAATTGTCATAAGATTATGGGGCGGCTGTAGCTCAATTAGTGGCAACAACAAGGTTGTTGGTTCTATCACTGGCTTGGTGTTGTTGATCCTGACCATCGTGACACTGAACCCTTAAATTACTCCCCAAAGTTCAGGTTACCTGTATGTACGTATATGAAGATTGGAAGAAAGTTATAAGTATTTTGAATTTTCACAAAGAAATACAAAGAAAACCAGAATCTGTGTTTGTATTGTAGAATTACAATTTTGATTTTAAAGATTTATTTTTATTTCATATTGTCTGTTACTTTTTGCTTCCCTGCTTGTGATTTATAGGCCTACAGTATGTAAGTAAGACAGTAATATGTCGAGTGTGTGGGTGTCCTCAGTCAGTTTTAGGATTGAATCAACTACAGTTATGTCATCCTGCTTAGACCTTCGATTAGCTTCAATTAAGTCTTTGATTGGATTTTATCAGGGCTCTAAAATATCCATAATTGAATAACTTCGCCCACATATATGCTCTTATCTGTTCTCTGTGGGGGTGATATCTGATCGGTCAATAAATCAGACGGATGAGCTGCGATGGTGAGCTCAGATAAACTGATTGGGTCTGCCAGCGTCGTTGCGGAGGGGCACAATTAGAATGCTGCTGCCTCTGTCTGGTCAGGTATGATTAATGGTGTAATGGTGAAAGGCAAGGGCAAGCCAAGGCTTTTAGCATCAGGAAAGACAACAGACTGGGAGGAGGAGGCTCTATGTAGTAGACCAAATAATCTGTGTTTATATATTGTTATATAAGCTGACATGCCTTTTTAATCCTTTGAGATCCATTCTGGATGGAAAATAAATGCTTTTCATGCCCAAGCAAAGAATACTGTTCAGAGGGATAACTGTCTGTCTGTCTGTCTCTTTCTACTCATTTGTCTTCCCCCCCCACCTGCTCCTTTCCTTATCTGCGCTGTCCTTTCCTCCTTCCTTTCCTCCCTCCTCATCAGGATGGGTCACGTGCTGGTCGGGACAGGAAGAAGACGGTGTCCTTCAGCAGCAGCCTGTCAGAGAAGAAGATCAGCAGCGCTGCAGACTGTATCCACTCCATGGTGGGTCATCCACATTGTAAACCTTTACATGGAATATAAAATAAGATAATCCTTTATTAGTCCCACAGCGGGGACATTTGCAGGATTACAGCAGCATAGTGCAAATGAACAAACAAGAGATCAAAACAAGTATAATAAATACGTAATCACACAGTAAAGGTATAATAATTAAAAAATGTTTAACAAACCCGCGACAAAAACTAAAATATGATGTAGTCGGACTGAATGATTGTTTATATTGCATTGCATATACATTTTACTTATCTGTGCATGAAATAGTGAATGTCCCTTGGATGCATCAAGAGTTGAATGATAGATCACAGACTTTTGAGCCAGACACTAAAGGGACCTTGAAATGGAGTGAGCTTTACACTGAAAGTCAGCAGTTGACAACTTCATCTATTCATTTCAGGTTGAGGGGATTGAGCTGAAGAAAATCCGAACCAACTCCCGTGTTTACCAGCGTTACTACCTGCTGGACGCAGGCCTCCAGGCTCTATGCTGGGAGCCATCCAAGAAGGAGTCAGACAAAGCCCGCATCTCTCTGGCCTCCATAAGAGAGGTCAGTGTCCAGAGAATTTTTTTTTTTAAATCAGGGGTTTACAAAGTCTGAGAATGTGGGAGTCCTTTAGACAAAGCTGGGAAACAGGCGCCAGCTCCCCCCCATATAGTTTGCTGATTATGTTATTTGAACCCATAGACACTTCACGTTCCACTTGACCATTCACACAATTGAACCAAGATTGAAGCTACTATTGCTAATATTGTTTGACATAACTTCAGACGACACCAAATAAATAGAAACGGTTTGTCCTAAGGCATTTATTAGTTCATGACTCTGGGGAAGTGGGAAAAACTGTAAAATTCCCCCAAATTCCCCTCTAAACTATTTCTTTTACCAATTGACACACATTAGGTTATCCTATGTGATCGTCTTTTGATAACCAATGTAATAACTGATGATTTTTTCTCTTCCATTAACTGAGCCTCCCCTGGAGGTGTTAGGAGCCGACTCCCTCTTTAAATACCTCTGGTCTAAATCCACCCTCCCTCACTTTATTAATGATCTCACTGAGTCCTTTAGACTAAAGCATTGGGAATATTTACAACCCTGAATCGTAAGGAAGGCAACTGTTGATTTGTTTCACTTCTGGTCTCACACTCTAGGTACGGACAGGTCGTAACACAGAAACGTTCCGCACCAGCGGAGTTTATGAGCAGATTTCCGAGGACTGTGCGTTCTCCATCATCTATGGAGAGATGTATGAAAGCTTGGACCTGGTGGCCAACTCTGCTGAAGTGGCGAACATTTGGGTGACGGGCCTGAGGTATGACACTGCAAGAACTGGGAGCAGTCTTATTTGCTGGACGACTCTGCGTTTTTTGCTGAACTAAACCAATAAAATGAATGAAAAAGCTGTCAGTGGAGGGCTATTCTACTGTTGCAGGAATTGCTTTTTATGTGAGAGTCAGCGAAATACCTGAGATAAAAATGAAAGAAATTGTGACGCAGTATAGTAAGGAAAATATTCTGTCCAATTGCATCTGCCTTGTCCGTTCTTCCCGCAGGTATCTGATGCAGTATGGGAAACATGCCCTGGACATGCTCTCCAGCAGCCAGGACAGCCTTCGTCTTGGCTGGCTGCAGCAGTTGTTCTCCTCTGCTGCTGATTCGGACGGACAGGAAGACGTGGAGGAAGGGATCCGCTTGCAGTTGGCCGTTAGGCTGATACAGAGCGTGAACCCTGGGGTCGGCGCCCGCAAAGTGGAGCACAGGTTCAAAGAGCTCCAGAGAGTTCGGGAGAGGATGTGTGGGCTCACTCTAGATAATGAACCTGGAGTTAAAGATCATGTCGAAAACAAAAGAGCAATAGGAAGAAATGAGCCAGTCACCAGGCAGCAGTTCATCGAGGTCTTCCATGACTTTTGCACACGACCAGAGATCTACTTTCTGTTGGTGCAGTTCTCTAGCAACAAGGAGTTCCTGGACACCAAAGACCTGATGAGGTTCCTCGAGGCTGAGCAAGGCATGACTCAAGTGGGTAACATGAATTAATCATGCATACAAATAGCAGAAAACAGGTCAGACATATATTTGCAAATCCCAGCCTTTATTACATCATTACACCCCTTTCCAATTTCTTTCCTTCATCTCTCAATTCTCTTCTCTCACTGTGACCTCCAGGTGAGTGAGGAGACCAGCTTGAAGCTCATCCAGTCCCACGAGCCATCGGAGGAGGGCCAGCAGGAGGGATACCTGTCACTGGATGGCTTCACCAGCTACCTCACCTCGGCAGAGTGCCACCTCTTCGACAAGGAGCACGACACCGTGTGCCAGGACATGTGCCAGCCTTTGTCCCACTACTACATCAGCTCCTCCCACAACACCTACCTCATCGAGGACCAGTTTCGTGGCCCGTCTGACATCTCTGGCTACATCCGCGTGCTGAAGATGGGCTGCCGTTGTGTGGAGGTGGACGTTTGGGACGGCCCCGATGGGGAGCCGGTGGTGTGTACTGGACACACTCTCTCACCACCACTGGCCCTGCACTGTGTGTTAGAAGCAATTGGAAGATTTGCGTTTGTGGCCTCGCAGTACCCATTAATTATATGTCTTGAGAACCACTGTTCACTTCCACAGCAGAAGGTGATGTGGCAACATCTCATGAGGATACTAGGGGAGAAGTTATACAGAGATCCGCCATACGAAGGGGAGTCATACTTACCATCGCCGCATGCGCTAAGGCATCGAATTCTACTAAAGGGTAAGAAGTTGGGGCCAGGGCCTGATGGGGAGGACGGGGAGGTAAGTGAGGAGGATGAAGGGGCAGAGATGTGTCAAAGGATGAAAGCGGTTAACAGTGGAGTGGCAGCGCCTGGAGGAAATGAGAAGGACATGGTGCAGAAAAATGTCTCTTTCACAGCAGTGACTCAGTCTAATCCTCAACATCTTGTCCCCAAACGTTTACAACTCTTGAAGGAGCTCTCTGACCAAGTAACTCTTTGCCGCTCAGTCCGCTTCATCGACTTCCCCACATCGACCAAAAGCCAAAACCCTTGGGAACTGTGTTCCTTTCATGAGTCTCTGGCCGTGCGTCTCGCTGGTGAAAGCCCTGGAGACTTTGTCAACCACAACAAGCATTTCCTGTCACGGGTGTACCCCAACCCCATGCGTATTGACTCGAGCAATATGAACCCTCAGGACCTGTGGAAGTACGGTTGCCAGATTGTGTCTATGAATTTTCAGACAGCAGGACTGATGATGGACCTGAACATAGCCTGGTTCCGGCAGAATGGGAACTGCGGTTACGTTCTGCGGCCAGCCATCATGCGGCAGGAGGTGTCTTATTTCAGTGCAGACACCAGAGACACGGTGCCTGGTGTGTCTCCACAGCTGCTCCATGTGAAGGTGTGCTGGAATAATGCTTCGACCACAACAAATGTTGAGTTCTAATAAACTGGAATAATCCTCTAAACTCATGATTGTGTTTCTGGCCTCCCAGGTGATAAGCGGCCAGAACCTGCCCAAGCCGCGTGGTGCCGGGGCCAAAGGAGACGTAGTGGACCCCTACGTGTACGTTGAGATCCATGGTATCCCAGCTGACTGCGCAGAGCACCGCACCAGGACGGTGACACAGAATGGGGACAACCCTGTCTTTGATGAGAGCTTTGAGTTCCAGATCAACCTGCCGGAGCTCGCCATGGTTCGCTTTGTGGTGCTGGATGACGATTTCATAGGCGATGAGTTCATAGGTAGGTGTCAGGGTCAGAGGTCAGAGGGGTGACTGTAAATGGACTCAAACACAACGATTTCATAGTTTGAGTTTGTAAGAGTGGATCAGACTGTTTA